CCAGTGTTCCTCCAAACACAATAATCCATACTTTACCTTCTTGATGTTTAAATCCAAAACATTTAACAATATGAACTTATTTAAACAAAGTTTCAAAATGTTACTAAAGTTGTATTTTACTTCCTCACATCCTAGGACAAGTTTCTGATTTTTTTTTAAATAGTAACTTCAAATAGAGCAATTGTTTGAAACAAGGATTAAGAATTTAATTAAGATAAAGAATGCTGTATAACTTTAAGGTAACAGTAATAAAAAAAAGAATGTGCAAAATTACAAAAAACAAACATGACCCTAAGGCAGCCTCACCCCACTCTGTGTGTGTGTGTGTGGGGGGGGGGGGTGCAGTACAGAACACTGATCAATATTTTCAGATTTTTTTCAATGTATTCATTAGTTTTGCTGTGTTTTTTCTCTTTCTCTTTTTCCTTTAAAAGTATTATTTATTTTACGGGATGTTTCTGGTGGGGGCAGATGGGGAAGACAGGGAAGGATGCTAGGAGAAAATCTAGTGATATAAAAACAAAAGATATCAATAACATTTTCAAAAAACTTTTCAAACATTTTAGAGTATCATCAGGGCTCTATGTTTCTTTAGAAGGGAAAATCCAATTCTGGTTTTCTCCCACACTTTCACTGAGCTCCTACCAGGTGCTCAGAGCAGACTTAGGTTTGGTGGGGAATACAGAACATGGTACAGTTTATCCCTTCCACACTTGGGGGTTAAGGGCATGGCTCCTTGCAATCCAGAAAAAAATTTTGACCCTCCCAAAGAAAAAGTCTAGATTTTTTCTTTTTCTTTTATGTGGTGATTATAGTACCTTATTGTAAAAATTGAGTTGATACCATATAATACAATACATATATTTTATGCATTTCTGAGTTTCTAAACTTTTTCTCTGTCATCTGCTGGCCTTTGTGCATCATTTGCAACTTCTGCAAAACTCCCCCAAAATTCCCATTTAATTTCTTATGCCAACCGGTGATATATTGAAACCTCAATGGGAAAAACCGTGACATGGAAGGGATAACTGTATAAAGCATGGTCCCTGGCATCGTGGGTGTTATACCTTCAAGTCAAGGAGTTGAGATATACCTTGTTCAAAACACAAACCGCTAAACTGTGTATTGTAACACTGACTGAAAGGACAGATGTTAATTTGGAGCAGAATGATCCAACAGGAGATGGTATTCTTAGTCAAATATGGATTGGATTATACGACATTTTAACTTCCTTCTAACTGGGGATGCTATGAGCATTATTTGTTGAGATAATTTCCATCTAAGAAAAAAACCTCGCTACACGCCTATTATGTACAAGGCACTATGCTAGACACCGGTGGTGGGGGGAAAACAAAAATGAAAATACAACACAATGGGGCAGCTAGGTGGTGCAGTGGATAGAGCACTAGCCCTGGAGTCAGGAAGACCTGAGTTCAAATTTGACCTCAGACACTTGACACTTACTAGCCGTGCGACTCTGGGCAAGTCACTTAACCCCGTTGCCTAGCAAAAAAACCCCAAACAAACAAAAAAGAAAAAAAAGAAAATACAACATAAGACTTGGCTTTAACTTCCAGGAGTCTCTGTTCTAATGTGTCCAAGACAGAGCTTCTCTTTCTTTCAAAACCCACCATTTTCTCCTGACTTCTCCTACTTCTCTTCATGGCCCACACTTATGTGTGTCAACTGCAAGTCATCTTTTGACTTCTTTTCTCTGGTCTCCCACCGTCCAGTCAGTTGCCAAGTTTGGTTCATTGCTTCACTCCCTCCTTACCATCTGTGTCAATGAAAGACAGTGTGATATAGTGGAAAAAGCACTGGTCTGAGAGTCAGCAGAGACCTGGGTTCAAATCCTATCTCTGATTTTTAGTAGCTGCCTGATGGTAAGCAAGTCATTTAATTTCTCTCAGTCTCAGTTTCCTTAGCTGTAAAATTGTGGGGTGGTCGGGAGAATGGATATCTAATTGTTATAAAGCCCAAATGAGAAAGTATATTTAAAGTGGTTTGAAAACCTTAAGGTTTTCTACCTTAATCTACCCTACATGGCCATCAGATTAACCTTATTACTAATGCACCACGTTGCACCATTCACCTGCTCAAAACTTGGCTTCCCATTGCTTACCAAATAATAGTCCAACCTCTCCTTGGCCTGGCATTCAGTACCCTCCACGGTTGGACTCCAGTATCTTTTCAGCCCTGTGTCTTCCTGCATATCTCCCCCCTCCTCCCAAGCTAGTCTACACTCCAACCAAATTGGAGTGCAGACCAACAACTCACCATCCTAGAATAATCTATGCTGGAAGGAGAGGCTAGAAGCAGGAAACTTTAAGTGGGGAAGGCTTCTATAGTTATCGGGTGTGAGGTAACAAGGACGTAAAGGAGGTTGGTGGCAATAAGAAATGGAGAGGAAGGATTAAAATTTGAGAGAGACATTTTGATAGAACAATCTGTAGAGCTTGATAACAAGTTGAATGTAGGTAATGAGGGAGAAAAGTCAACTTCAGACTAACCTAACCTCAGACATCACATCAGGAAACTGATGACCCCACAAACAGTATTGGGAGTTGAGAAGGGATACCCTAATAAGGGATAATAGCCCTTTAAACTAGTATGCAGAAGCTCCAGGATACTACAGTTAATAAAATTCTATCATGTTACAGCAGAAAGGAACCTTAAAGGACAGCCACAATATACAAATGAGAAACTCTTCTCTACAGTCAACGGGCTTTGGTGCGTGCTGGGCATTTTGATACAGAGTGTTTATAACCAGGATGCCTGCATATCTACCAACAGGTGTCTGTAGCAAAAGTGGATGTTTCACTGTCTACTCAAAACCTATCTAAAATTAAAATCATATGCCCTTCAAAGATAGCTTCCCCTCTAGACTCATCTAGTTCTATCCATGAAACCACCATGCTTATCATTGCTGATATTTTAATAATACTTTTAAAAGTTAGCCAAGTACTTTACATATGGTTTCTCATTTGACCAACATAACAAAAACTCTGAGGTTAAGTAATGAGTATTATTCTCCTTTCTTTAGAGATGAAGAAATCGAGGCTCAAAGATTTTTAGGGGCTTTTGAACTGACACACAGCTTGTAAGTATTAGAAGCAGGATTTGAACCCAGGACCTTCCTAACTCCACCTGCAGCACCCTAGCCATCATGCCAAGTGACCTCTCCCCCAATTTATTCAATTCACTCATCCTCCCACTAATTTGGACTTAAAATCTTCAGCCTAAAAACTTTTCTCCTCCATTACGTATTCATTAAGTTTTTTATTCTTCTACTTTTTTTTTTCTCACTCTCCTAATTATATAATTACTTTAGATCAGGGGCCTAATACCTCTTACATAAACTGTATCAAAATAATCTCTGCTCTTCTGCCTCCGGTCTACTGCCTTCCACCAACCCCTTTTACATCCTACCACCAAACTGATTTTAAATTTGCATCAAGTCACTTCCTCCCTCAGCAACCTTACATGGCTCCCTACTGCCTGATGCATGAAGTCCAACTCCTCTGCCTAGCAGTGGCAGATTCTCTACCTCCTGCTACATCCCCCTCAATTTCCTCACCCCCCAACATTTACCCATCTCATTTCATTCTTTCATTACTCTACAATGTTAGGCTGAGGCCTTTCTTAACTGTCCAAAGCTGCACTGACCACTTCCATCTCTGAATTTGCCCAATCCATTATTCAGTTCAATCATAGGCTAACATGGAGTGTGATTTTGATAAAATTATAAAACCTCAGAGTTAAAAAAACCTTACACAGAATATAATTCAATCTTTTTACTTTACAGATAAAGAAACTGGAGCATAGGGAGGTTAAGAAATACCTTAACCAGGTGACTCAGTGAGTTATTTTTTTGTATGAATATCTTATCTTGGAGACTGGATTGTAAATTCCTTGAAAATACCCCACACAGAAGAACTTAGTGCAATGCACATACATAATAGAAGCTCAATTAATATTGGCTGAATTGAAGTCACTCAGCAGTCTGTATTTGTCTGTTTCTTGATAGCTTTGGTGATATTCACTGGTTTTGATAAAGCTTTTACTCTATTAAATGGCACTAAGATGCTGTAAGTTCAAAATAAAATGGTGGCCAATTTATCTTAAAATGAACATCTCTGTCATTTCTAAGAAATCTCAATGAAAATGGTACACAGGCAAAGATCAGATCTATGACTGTGCTGAGTTAGGTCACAATTTACTAGTAATTTATATGGAAAAAAAAAATCAAGCATGAACTCCAAAAAAATTACATCCTTCACCAAGTGACAAGAAACAAGCAACTGTTTATAAATAAATGTCTCCAAAATCAACCTGCAAGTCAAATCAATTGTGAAGAGGGAAAAATGCAAAAGCTGAGCTGTCTCTTAAGCGCTAATATCACAAGTAAGAATGCCACCCACACGGGAGAGATATTCAACATTAAAATTTATTTTCTCCATCTACTTGATGGATATAAATCTCGACCCATTCATTGGCACGTGACAAATAAATGCCCAAAATATATTTACATGTGTTTCTGACATTAAATCTTAACTCCATGATAGCTTACAAATACAAGAAATACATTTTAGTTTTATGATCACTTAGCTATAGTACTAAAGTCTGATTTCAAAGTAATAAAGTCTGAGTTTGGAATCATAAGACCTGGGTCCAGCTCTGTGTGCAGTTGGGCAACCGAATTTTATAATCTCCAAGGTCCCTTCTGCCTACAAGTCCTATGATCCTGGACAATAAAATGAATAAGCTAGGTAAGCTAAAATGTTTAAGGGGGTTAAAAGCTGCTTCTGAAAAGAAAAACAGCTCAGTGAAATGTGGGTTTGCATTTCTGCTTCCAATTTATGAATTTCCTCCTCCTCATTCACTCTTTTTTTTCTGCAACACTAATAATAGCATCAAAGCTTGTTGCCAAATTAAATCTGCACACACAATATCCTGTTAAAAAGGAAGTCAATAATGTCACAATATCTTTTATCTCTTACCTGATTTATCACATATATCCCGTAATCCAGCTGTTGACGCTGCAGAAAGGGGTGGAGATAATAAAGCCAATAACGTAGATGTTCATCTCGGTTCCTGAAGGGGATAATAATGGCCACTTTTTGAAGTGCTGTGCAGTCCTCTGGGGTAAATCGACCTCCCTTCCTCAATTTAGGATTTTCTTTTTCTATGGTTTCCAGATTCACAGGGCGCAGAAATTCCACCTGTAATGGGCCAACTGAAAAAAGTATAACAAAGAAAGGACATATTAGCAGGTTGAAGAATGCCATGGGTTCATTTATAAAATATTCACTAGCACTACTCAAGTAAAAATGTATTCTTTTTTTTCGCCTCTAACTCAGAGGTGGGGAGTAAGGCCACATGTAGCTTTAAGTCTGCAGGTTCCCCACCCCTGCTTTAAGTTATCAGAGTCAAAGGGGCAGCTAGGTGGCACAGTGGATAGAGCACCGGCCCCGAGTTCAAATCCTCAGACCAAACACTCAGCACTTACTAGCTGTGTGACCCTGGGCAAGTCACTTAACCCCAATTGCCTAAAAACAAAAACAAAATAAAAAAATGATCAGAGTCAAGACATGGGTGACATTCCTCTCTCCTTCACCTTTGTTCAATTCAACAAAGACACACCATGCAACTTATCATTCACCTGAAAACAACCCTCTCCAAGCGCTGGAGACAAAAGAGCTTTGGAATAGCCCTTACTCTTTAAGCATACTTGGGAACCAAGGCTTTTTTTCAGGAACCATGAGAGAAAGAACTGTACATGAAACCTGGAGCAAGTAAGCTGTTTGGCAAGTGTGCAATTATTATAATCAGGCATCAAACATATCAGGCAACAAATGCCTTGGGAGGTCTGGAAGACGGGAAATAGGTATCACTTGGAGTATAACAGAAAAGGCTTCCTGGACAAGAGGAGGTTTGACACATGTCATGAAGGGGGAGAGAGAAGATGTAGGCATTATGAAACAAGAAAGAGAAGAGTACGGTGAATATGGAGGACAGGAAAAGAGCAGTTTAGTTCAACATAAGCTTAATTCAACAAATATTTAAAACAGTCAGCACTTAACAGACATCTGTTTCCTTCCCTCCATCCTTCTCCCTCCCTCCCTTTCTTCCTTCTTAAGTGCCCACCATGTAGAAAATACTATGCTAGGTGCTAATGACACAAAGGTAAAAATAAAAATAAGCTCTTTCCTCTAGGATCTTACATTCTACTATTTTCATCAAATGGTACATATTAAGGAATAAGAGACAAAGTGACAGATTGCCAGATATGTCTATGTGAGTATGTGAGAATGTGTGCACACACGTAAACCAGGGTGTAGAGGGCCTTAAATGCCAAAACAGAACTGAGTCAAATGTATAAGAATATAAGTCATTCCCTAATTGATAAATGGTTAAAGGATATAAACTGGCAGTTTTCAGATGAAGAAATCAAAGCTATCTCTCTGTAATTATATGAAAAAAATGCTCTGTATCACTAATGACTAGAGAAATGTAAATTAAAACAATTCTGAGGTACCACCTCACACCTATCAAATTGGTTAATATGACAGAAAAGGAAAAATGACAAATGTGGGAGGGGATATGGGAAAATTGAGACATTAATGCACTGTTGGTGGAGTTGTGAACTGATCCATCCACCTAGAGGGCAATTTGGAACTATGACCAAAGGGCAATACAATTGTGCATACCCTTTGACTCAGCAATAGTCTACTACTAGGTTTGTATCTCAAAGAGATTTGGGGAAAAAAAGGAAAAGGATCTATATGTACAAAAATATTTCTTTTTGTGGTGTCAAAGGATTGGAAATTGAAAGCATGCCCATCAATTGGGGAATGGCTGAACAAATTGTAGTATATGATTGTGATAAAATTAATACTGTGCTTTAAGAAATGATGAGCAGGATGCTCTCAGAAAAACCTGGAAAGACTTACATGAACTGATGCGAAGTGTAATGAGCAGAACCAGAAGAACATTGTACACAGTAACAGCAATATTGTATGATGATCAACTGTGAATGACTTAGCTATTCTCAGCAATACAAAGATCTAAAACAATTATGAAGGACTTGTGATGAAAAATGCTATCCACCTTCAGCAAAAGAGATGATGGAGTTTGAAAGCAAATCAAAGTATATATTTTTAAACTTTATTTTCCTTGGGATTTTTTTATCTGTATTTTCTTTCATGACATAAGTAATATGGAATTGTTTTACATGACTGCACATGTATAACCTATATAAGACTGCTTGCCTTCTAAATGAAGGGGGAGGGGAGGCAGGGAGGGAGAAATTTGGAACTCAAAATTTATAAAAAACTGTTAAAAATTGGAAAATAGAATTTTTTAAAAATCAAATGCCAAGGGAGGGATAGAATTTGGAATTCAAAACTTTTTTTTTAATGTTAAAAGACACTAAGTACTTAGCTGGAAATGCAAGAGTCCCCAATTTCAAAGAACTCATGGTCTAATGGGGGAATACAATATGAGATTTCAGCCATAGGTTGGATGGAAAGGCCTCATGGTCCTTAATATGCAGTGGCAAAGCAAATGTTAACTTTTTTCTTTAATAAGTCATTCCCATTGATAAAACTGTATTTGTTTGGTGTTGAGCTATGGAGCCATCTGACAGGGCCAATGATTTTGGTGGTAAAAACTTTCTTTTCTGGGTCTTTAGTAGCAGTGACTGCTGAGGAAGAAGGGGCTCCACCAGCACCTGCAGAGGGGATCGCCATGTTACATCTCCACAAGGGTTGTTTATCTGTTATACCCCATAATCCCCAGGGACAACTTCACTCAGCCTTGTATCCTCTTCTCTACTTCCTCATCCTGCCAACCAACTGGCCCAGTGCTCTGCAAATGGCAGAAACTTAAAAAATATTTGTTTCATTGAATAAGACTTCCAGTAATAAGAGCTCGTCCAAAGATTACAGAAGGGTAAGGTGGAGGAAAGAGGAGGACAAAAGATTATTTCAAAGGAGGAATTGAAAGGATATAGTGACAAGTAAAATGTAAGGAATGGAGGAGAGGTAAGGCTCCAATGTGAAGTTTCCCAGCCCCACCTTTTACTAGCTATATAACTGTGGGAAAAACCAGCTAATCTCTGAGTCCCAGTATCCTCAGCTATAAAATAGTAATAAGACTAACTCACACCATCTACCCCTATGGGATTGTTGTGAGGAAAATGCTTTGCAAACATAAAATGCCATCAATGAAAAGAAATGAGGAAATCTGAGATCACAAATTGGTGTAAAAGGAAAAATAGCTTTATTTTTTTCGATGTGCTGAGTTTGAGATGTTAACAAGAGAATTAGGTTTTTAAGTATTTGGAGACAGAGATCTCAGGATCACAAACAAAGGATGAAAATGAAAGCTCAAAGAAAAGACAGTAGTAGAGTTACTCTTTCTAACCCCCTCTTTTTACAGATGAAGAAACTGAGGCTCAGAGACATTAAATGATCCTTCTAAGAACAAGCAGCAAGTTAGTGACAACACCATGGCTAACATTCAAGTATCCTGATTCCTTCAAGACACAAAGGAGAGATTCTCTGACATTCTTTGTATCTAGCCTGATCAGTCTACAGCTCCAAAAATATATTTGGAGCAAGTACCTTGGGTTTCTTTGTGTGTGCTGTTTTCATTCTGAATTTAAACACCAAATAAAATAAGCATTTCTACATGCCAAAAAGGACTGTACATGAAATTTGGAGCAAGTACTTTTTAAGAAAAAAAAAATTATACTACTGTGTAATAAGAAATGATGAGGGGGCAGCTAGGTGGCGCAGTGGATAGAGCACCGGCCCTGGATTCAGCAGGACCTGAGTTCAAATCCAGCCTCAGACACATAACACTTACTAGCTATGTGACCCTGGGCAAGTTACCCCATTGCGTAGCCAAAAAAAAAAAAAAAAGAAAGAAAGAAAAAAAGGAGAAAGAAATAATGAGCAGGATGCTCTCAGAAAAACCTGGAAAAATTTATATGAACTGATGCAAAGTGAAATTAGCAGAACCAGAAGAACATCGTACACAATAACAGCAATACAGTATGATACTTAGCTATTCTCAGCCACACAATGATCCATGACAATTCTGAAGGATTTATGATGAAAGGCGCTGTCCATCTCTAGAGAAAGAACTGGTGGAGCCTGAATGCAGATCGAAGATACTTTTTTTTTACTTTATTTTCCTTAGGCTTTTTTTTGTCTGTGTCTTCTTTCACAGCATGACTTACATGGAAATGTGTTTTGCATGACTATACGTGTACAATCTATGTCAAATTGCTTGCCTTCTCAATGAGTGGGAAGGGAAGGAGGGAGAGAATTCGGAACTCAAAATTTGAAAAAACAATGTTAAAATTCTTTTTATATGTAATTAGGGGAAAATATTAATAAAGAAAGTAAGAAAAGAAAAGAAAAAAGATTATCCTTTCAGTCTTTGTATTTCCGCCATCAAATGTTTGGTCCCAAACTTTCAGAATCATTTTGGATGTTCAAATATAGTAACTGGAAACTGACAGACGGTATGAAATGAGAATGTGGCCCTTGATCACAAATGCCCTCTCTTTTATTCTAATACCTGGCTCAATGTCAAAGGGTATGTATGTTGAGGGGAAGGGAAGGGAATTGAACGGAGGCCAAAAAGAAAAGTCACACTTCAAAATTCTGTCTTAAAGGTATGGAAAGATGTAGACTTATGGTTTACCCACTCTCTATCCCACCAGCTAAAATATATAATATTATGTATTATAATACATAATACAAAAACAAAACTGCAACTACTTAGGAAAACAAGAGAGGACGTACTGTCCTATGCCAGTGTAACAGGCAGTTTTTCTATAGCATTTAAAAGTCAAAGTTCCAAACTAACCTGGGCCTTAGATAAAAACTGAAGCTATCTTTTGATAGTGCCTATTTTTCTTTCTACATGCCCATCTGCCCACTCGTTTCCCCAGTCATTCCCCACCCCCTCACCTCTTTCATGACCAATCTTGGCTTCTTGCTGGCCCTCTTTTTACATTCTACTTTCTATTCCTCTACAAGGTCCCAAGCTCCATTCGTCCTCATTTGTTCTTAACAAATCACCAATAAAGTAAGGAAATGACGGACGTGATTAAAAACTCATACTGAGGGCACTCAAGACAAGATGTTATCAAGGGACTATTGATTCAACTCTTGACCTTGGCTTTAATAAATGTTTAATTCTGCAAAATATGTTCCATGG